TCCCGGCCCCCGAAAGCCCAATGGATTCTGGCACTCCTTCAAGGTTTAGGCATGCCAACTGAACTGCAGGGGTTGCAAAAGAGAGGATCATCGCTAACTTGCCTTTTTGGACTGCCCGTTAGCTGCTAGCTGCCAAGAGTCGTGCGTTGTTCGGCTGTCCGGGAGGGATCACAAATTTCTTGAGCGACGCGCCGTTCTTGGCAAAAACCTCAACGACTGCTCCGTTCACCAAATCCCACAGATCGATGAGCTCAACATCTTGCAACTTGGAAAAGAGGAAAGTCACCTTCGTTGTGCCCACATCGCACTGCTGGGGAATTCCTGCTTTGGAATAGATCATCACTTTCGGAGCATTGAAGTTGAACTTCTTTGGATCGATGATCTGAAGGGGCCCGGTGCATCCTTTAGCTCCGTTAGCAATAATTTTGACTCCGTCGATCTTATTTGGGGGGAACTTGTCGCCATGCTTGAAGCCCTCGAAGTCCAGCTGCTGGGTGCCCTGCTTGCAGAACTTTGGCTTCAGTTCGTTGCCTTCCCCATCTACCTGCAGCTCGGACGTGTTGCGATGTGTCTGCAGGATGCACGAAGCATCCGGCTCGGCAAGGACGGCCACGAAGACGGCAGGAAGCCACTTCAGCATGGCTGCTTGGCACTTGGAGCAGCTGGGGCAGGCAGATTTCTTTGAGCCAAACGCTGAGTATTGATTGGGCGTATGCACATGGACCCATAGCCACAAGATGGTCTTATGGTGCTTGTTGGTTTGAAAGAACCGATGAAAGCTTATGGTCTTTGCTATCTCTATGCCCTTGGGTTCAAAACATCTAGCACGTCCTTAAGACATCATTGAGCATGTCAATGCCCTCTGCTTGCAGGGAGTAGAGAGTGGCAGGGTTCAGGGACGGCAGCCGCTAGGGCTGGACCTTGACGTTCAAGCAGGACTTCTCCAGGCTAAAACTTAATAGTCAGTGCTGTAAAGACTTGCGGGATCTCACGATCCGATGCCATCTGTTTTGAGGGAGCCCCCGTTAGCCGTCAGCCTGACGTTGCAGCCAGCCTCATTCCTCCGGAATGCGCTTGCCGCGACACCAAATCGGAGGTGCCAAATCTTGAAATGAACCGTGTAAGGCACATGCACCACACGAAGTGTGGCCTGCTATTTGCTGGCCCGCCTTGCTTTGTGCTTGGAGCTCGTCGCTAGGAACCCCAAGCCCAGGACGGGCCGCCACAAAAATCTTAAAATTCGAATTCATTAAAAGTGAGTCCTGATAAGGACCTCTATAAAACATGAAGGTCCACTGATCTTCTGGCAATATCAGAGACTCATGAGCTCGGCGGCAGCTGACGCAAAGCCCTCGCCACCTCTGCAAACGTCAAAGACACAGTCCTGCGAGGCTTTGGGGCGTTTAGCATGTTCTAGGGGCGCCCAGGCATGCCGATAAAAGCAACTGCTGCGGGTGCTGGTGCTGGCGATGGTAGTGGCACCGTTGGTGGTGGCGGTGCTGGCGATGGTGCTGGCAGCGGGTCTGGCGGTGGTGCTGGCGGCGCTGTCTGCGCTGGCGGGTGGTCCGAGCTTGGTGTCCATAGTTTTCCAGAAGAGCATTCATATAGGAGTCATTTACAGCAGGGTCTTGGCAAGTTTCGTCTAAGGCTGGAATGTGTCGAGCCTCAAGGTAACTGAGACCCTCAGCACAGAGCCCCAAAGAACAAACCAACAACACCTCAACACTAAACAGACAACTGAAAACCTTAAAACCCGCGAGCGCCAAAAACACCCCAAACCTCAACCCTTCAAAAGCAGACCTTCTCAGTGATCTATGCATTGGTCCTGGAAGTCATCTGCCTCGGCATCCTGACCCAAATGCTTGGCGCAGGTCTTCTCAGCTTTGCTCCTATGCCCGTCAGCGCCAGTCCACATCAGATGAACAGTGTTTTGCTTTGCTGTTTTGGTAGGAACACGTTTTTTTCGGCAGATTTTCCAGTGGGAGAAGCAGCCCCAGGTGATTGCGAAATGCTAGCTGCAGTGTGCAAAGTACATTCTGTAATCAAGGTTGCCACTGCTAGGGAACCCAATGAGGCTGCAGCAGAATCTAAGCGCCTAAGACCTCATGCGGGCACCAAGGCTCTTGGCTGCATTGTCGCACTCTGTGAGCAAGTTGTATGTGGACCTTCGTGCTGCAGCGGGTATAGGTGTCTGGTTCCTTGCTTCATGCCCATCTAAATCTCCTTTTCCTATGAGTGATACGCATTTCTGCCAGGAGGCTGCTCCGAAAGAGTGTGGATGAAAGACGCCGCCTTGGGGCTTCCGCCTAGCACATCCCACGCGTCCCGTCGCGGGTATTTCTTCTGCCCATCGCCGTTCCCAACTTCGATCTGGCCGTTCACATACCTGACCAGGCCCAGAGTTTCCTCTGAGAGGGGCCCTAAGCAAAACGCCTCAACGTAACCTCCGCACTAGGTGCCAAGGCTTACAAGACCCAGAAAAGGGTCCTAATTACTTTCAGGTTCCGGGGCTTGCTCAGGGTCTGAAGGATTCCGGCTGTGTACAAGTACTTTGCACTTACCCCAGCATACCCCAGTGACCCCTTCCTTACGCAGTGTCAAGCATAGCCCAGCAGCTTCCAGTCGTCCCAGTTGGCCATCGAGATGC